AGTTCTCATTTGATTAAGCCCTTATATATATATATATATATATATATATATATATATATATATATTAAAGAAGAAACCAAGGATAATGAGGTGGCACATTCTAATGTTTAAACCCCCCCTATATTTTTTCTCATTTTTTTTTTAATTTTTTTAAATGTTGAATATGTTAAAGACTTTTTTGTCTTTGGATGAAAAATGTATAGCTCATAATTAACCTGAGTTATTTTTGTAATTTTGTATACCCAAGTTTAACCTCCAACCCTTGATTTGCTCTTCCATTTACTTTCTTTTATTTCTTAATGAAATTTGTTTTTTAAAGTTTCAATAATAAACAAAATAAAATCATATAAAATCCTTTGGTGAGGGATGAAGAAGATGAGAGTTCAAGAAGAATTCAAAGATTTTAAAAGGTATGTACAAATTATATTCATTAAAAAATGTGATTTGTTATTACATATTTCTTTTTCAATATTGTTGGATGTGTTGTTATCATAAGATATGATTGTGTTTACGATTGGATCATATAAATTRTGTTTATGATTTGATCATATAAATTCGAATAAAATTTTGATATTTCATAATCACAGGATATGATAAACTTTTTTCGAATTTAAGCTTCATTAACAATAACTATTTATACGTGATTGATAATTACGTTAAATTTTGACTATTTCAAGATTTTTTCCAATTAATAGAAATTCTTTGGTGAGTAATGAAGAAATAAAAATTGAAGAAAACTTAAAAGCTTTTAAAAGGTATGTAAAAATTATATTATTTACAAAATGTGATTTGTTATTACATATTTTTTTTCTTTTCAATATTGTTAGATTTGTTGTTATCGTAAGACATGATTGTGTTTACGATTGAATCATATAAATTCGAATAAAGTTTTGATATTTAATGATTACAAGATATTATAAAAACGAATTTAAACTCCGTTCACAATAATTGTTTATACGTGATTAATAATCATCAATATATGTATATATATATATATATATATATATATAAGAGAAACCAAATACAATATGTGTCTTTCTCTAAATACACTCAAAATGATGTTTATGTATTTATTTATTTGAAAACAAATAAAATATGATATTCATATGGTTTTTGTATGTGTAGACTTTGTATGAAAAATAGAAAATTTTAAATTTTTATATATTCGGTAAATAAAAAAAAGAGCGTCTTGTTTAATATTTTTGAAGAGATTTATTTAATGATGGTTTAAAGTTTTAGTTATGTATTAGAATGATTGATCGTAACATATCAACAATTGTGAGGATAATAACATGAACAAAAAAATATAAAAGTCAATAAATTAATCATTATATTTATAGCTATAATAAAAGAAAATGATATATGCATGAACTGACATTGTGATATTTTAACATTAGTTTGATTTTTTTTTCTAAAAAAATTATCGTGTGCACAAAACTAGTTATTGTAATTGTACAATCCAGTTGCTCTACCAGTATCTCATTTTTTAATCCAATGGATACAAAAACAAAACAAACTGCTTACTCTATTATAAACATTAACCATTAGAAACGTGTGTAGGAAAATCAAAAGGTGCAACAAATTTGGGATTAACGAGATTTGTAAAGGTTGATAATTGTAACATCCATAAAACGAACACATAAATTAATATGTAATGCTAAAATTTAACACTATCATTTGTTTTATCGAGTAAGAGTTTAATTCATGAAAACGACGTCGTATGCAATAATTTATGCGGTAAGTGTTAACTGGGTAAAAGTCAAATTTTTGAGTAATACTCTCGATCCTTACCATCACTTTTAACAATCAAGATTTTTTTACTCCTTAACATGTTAATCCAGTAAGACAAATAATTACCGAATAAACTTCTCTTAATTAAACTTTTGAATTAATTGTGCAACTTACAATTAAAAGTAAAAAAAGATTCCTTAATTAATCTTGTCTCAGATTTGTCTTTTATTCTCGATTCGGTAATCTTTGTGAGCCACCACGCCCTGCACCTATTTGTTAACTCAAATTTAACAAGATCCATTAAGTATCTTATATGACTCGCAAGATCATTATTTATACGCCTTCTTAATTAACCCCATGCACACCATCCACTCATCTTAATCATTTTATTATCACCGTATATAACTGATACCTCCATGGCCGATATAAATACTGCTGAAACTCCTCCCGTATACCGCGGTATCCGCATGCGTGACGGCAAATGGATGTCCGAAACAAGAGATCCACTCACCAACACGCGGTATTGGCTTGGGACTTACGCCACACGTGAGAAGGCAGCGATTGCATACGATGCAGCCGTGTATTATTTTAGGGGACAGGGTGCCAGCCTTAATTTCCCACATATGGCAACCGTTCTCCCACGGCCGCCTACCTCTAGCAAAGAAGACGTAAGAAAGGCTTGTAAGAAGGCCTCATTGCTCCTGGAGCCCTCGATTGGCACTGGGTCGAGCTCTTTGCCCACCCATATCCAACTTCTGCCCACCCAAATCCAGGCCATTCGTGACTCCCCACTTGATTGCTATGAAACGTGGATGGAAGCAAACTGTACGTACGTACCTTTCTGATGCCGCTAAGCTAACTTAGTTGGATAAAAAAAGAGACGAACTTATGGTCCGAGAAATTTGTGTAGAATGGCGTGCCTATATATATATATTACCGAAAATCGTAGATGAGGCATGGAGGGTGCAGCTTAATAAGATTACAACCATGCATGGTCCTATTCCTATCTTTTAATGGACATCAAGTGGAAATGATATGAACATAAGCGGCTCTGTTTGCTACTATGCTTTTAAAATATTATTTTATTTTGGAAGAAAATATGCAGAAATGAATATTTGTTTTCAAGTTATAATTACATTTTAGTGTGTATATTTGTTGATGGAAGAAGAAGAAAAATGAGTAATTTTTTTTTTATTAACCTGGATATCCAACCCGTTATGCGAGCCAACTAATCTCAGAACGACCACCTGCTTTGCAGATAACCCAGTCTCACCGCATTTGAACCTCCGTAGCCACAAGGGGATTTTTATTCCTCCTTGGATTTGAACTTGAGACCTCCTGGTACTTTTGACCTTTGGAGCCAAGCTCAAACCAATCAAACACCACCTTTGTTTGTGGTTGAAAAATGTAGTAGCAATTTAATGGTTAAATTAATAGATATATCGTGGAATGTTAAAGATTTGAGCTTCTTGGAATACAAATTGTATATCATTGTAAAATAAATATTAATTTGATATTAGAAATAATGAAATATTCAGATTACCTCTTAGTAAATTCATATATATATATATATATATATATATATATAAAGAGAGAGAGGAGGGAGGTCAGGGGAGGGGGGCGAGGATGGGGTTCAAACAAGAACAATAATGAAAAAAATGGTTAAATCACGCGTAAAATCATATTCACATCTAAAATCACATGTGATTTTGTATATTAACGAATTTTTTTTTTCTTGTTTTCCTAAATGATTTGCATTCTTGTTTGAACCTTCCCC